CGCCATATACCAGCGCGGGCATGATGAGTGACTTATAGAGTGTGGTTTTGGTACGTCGAAAGAGGAGTTTACTCCTGACTTGCCTACTCAGTCCAAAGTAATACTTGTTGGCAAGGGCGAATCTGCGTTGGATTTCCATGCTGACATTATTATCGGTGTGAATGCTGGCTCCCAGGTAAACGAAAGTATCTACTTTATCGAAATTATAACTGTCAAAAGTGACGTGGGTGCCCAGGCGCGAATGTGCTGATTGTTTGTTTGATGACAGGAGATACTTCGTCTTGTCCTCGTTTACCACCAGACCCATTCGCTTTGCTTACTTGTCCAACTTGGAAAAGGCGGGACAGACTTCGCGGATTTTCTTACCGATGATGTCAATGTCATCGGCATAAGCCAGCAATTGTATGCTCTTGTAGTAAATTGTTCTTGAGCGGTTCAGTTCTGCAGCTCTTATTATCTTCTCCAACTAGAGCTAGAAAACTATCAATAGTCGTGGCCATCGACAGTTTCGATAGTCGATAGTCACAACCATCGATAGTATCGATGCTATCGAAAATGTCGACACTATCGATAGTTTTGATTAAAAAGGTCCAAAACATAAACATAAACAATGTGAGTTGGTTTTTCATTTAATTCAATTTGTTGTTATATATGTATACATACTGGTTTTTCGTCTAATGTGTGCGTTTTTTTGTAGTTTTGCATATTTGTTGTAGCATATAAAATAAACACTACGCTCGAGGATGCTAAAAAAGTTTCAGCGAAGCGTCGTGTAAAAAGTGGAATAAAGTAGCATATTTAAAATATCCTAACAACTTTTACTGAAAATGAGATCAGATTTGCTAAAATATGTCTATATTTATGTTAAGGAACAAAAGTTTATCAACGATTTTTAACTTCAACAGTATCTGCGCCCTGAAATTATTTGCCCTGCTTTGCTAAATGTCCTTTCCGACATAAAAAGGTAAAGACTTTACCGTAAAGTAGGTACCGCCCGCCGGCTTTTACTCTTACTGAATAATGTATGTATGAGTGAAAACCATCGATAGTGCTTACAAAACCATCGATGTTTTCGATAGTCAAAAACCATCGATACTATCGATAAGAATGAGTGAAAACTATCGATAGTGCTTACAAAACTATCGATGTTTTCGAAAAAAATCATCATACTATCGATAGTGCCATCGATCACATGAAAGAGAGTCGCCCTGTCTGAAACCCTGTCTGGTGGCGAGCGGCTCGGAGAGGTCTTTCCTAATTATGGCAGAGCTGGTGGTATAGCTCAACGTCATTTTTCACAGCCGTATGAGTTTTAAGGGGATGCCAAATTCAGACATAGCGGCGTATAGGAAACTCTTTTTAGTGCTGTCGAAAGCGGCTTTAAAGTCGACAAATAGGTGGAGGTGGTGAGTGCCGATCCTTTACTCGCGGGTCTTTTCCAAGATTTGGCTTATTGTGAATACCTGGGCTATGGTGGATTTGCCAGGGCTAAAGCCACACTGATAAGGCCTAATCACTTCATTGACGGTGGTATTCAGTCCTAACACAAAACATTCGATAAGACCTTGCAACCTATGCTTACAAGGCTGATCCCGCGGTAGTTGACACGCATAGCAGGGTCGCCTTTCTTGTGGATTGGGCAGAGCGCACTTTAATTACAGACATCGGGCATGCACCTTATTACCTCCATGCCATCGGAATTGAATAGCTCAAGTGACAAGTCGTTAGCTCAAGCAGTTTTGTTACTTTTCGTCATAGTCAGGCGCTGGGATATCGACTCCATGATCATCGAATGGGAACTCGGGTTCGTCTTCTCCACTTCTTTCAGTGCTTCTGCCATTCGAAAAGTGTTCCCTCCATAATCTGAGTACGTTCTGGACATCGGCCACTAGGTCGCCATGGTTGTTCCTACAGGAGTCTTTAAACCTTCCGTAAGTCGCTCAACTCTCTGCTAAAAACTTCGGGTGTTTTTTCTGTCGGCCAGCATTCCAAGCATTTTTCTCACACTCCTCATCGTACCAGTAATGAGCGGGAAATGTGGTTCCACTGCTCGCGCAAGTCGGTTTGTTGAAGTGTGCTCTCTCACAGCACATTGCAGCTTTTCGACGTTGAACTTTCCTTGCACTTGAACTTTCCCTTTTTTTGCTGCACCGAAGTGGGGGCTGCATCAATATAGTAGCGCAAGTCGATGTTTGGCCCTTGGAGTATACGTACCTACATCTAAAACACTGGAAGCATGGCTTTCGTCTATCACAACATGCTCGATTTGGTTTCCCGTTTTTCGATGTGGAGACATCCATGTAGCTTGATGGCTCTTTTTATGCTAGAATCCAGTAATACATACTGCCCAATTTCGGGCCCCGGCGCTTACCTTCCTAGCGCCGACCATCGCATTTCATCAGACATCAACCAGCCGGGCAGAGGCACCATCCCGATGCATATCATCATAGTCCTTCCTATGTTTGCCGTGATCGTCATCACCTGTATAGAAAACCAAATAGCCGGACCAGACGTTATTCAAAATAAAAAATGTAAAAAAATAAACTTTTTTCCGTATACTCTGTAATATTCCTCCGCAATTTTGAAAGGTAAACTAGCAATTTATGATCGGTGCTTTGCAGCGAAATATCTTCTCTTAAATTATATACATATGGATGTATAAATACATATGAGGACGTATTGAACATTTTGAGTATGCAGATTTTTTATGCTGGTATATACATTTATGCTAAATATATTACTTAATTTTGTTTTGTCACACCGTGTAATAAATAAAAAGTGCCGTTAATAATAATAATAATAATAGATTGGCGCTTACACATATGTTAGTGTTTGGCCGAGCTTCTCCTCCGACTTGTGGTGTGCGCCTTGATGTTGTCACACAAAGCGGAGGGACCTACAGTTTTACGCCGACTCCGAACGGCGATTGTATTTTTATGAGAAGCTGTTTTTCATGGCAGAAATACACTCGGAGGTTCGCCATTGCCTGCCGAGGGACGACCGCTGTTAAGAAAAAACCTTTTTCTATATTTTTTTTGCGATGCTGCTTTGACCAGGGCTTGAACCCAGGTGCGGATGAGTGAAAGCGCGCTGCTTACCACTACACCACAGCGGCCGCCAAAAGTGCCGTTAACTTATCTGTTTTAAAGTATAGTTAAATCATTAGTTAAACTTAATTACAGAAAATTCTGTGTAATTTTTCTGTAGTAAAGTTTAACTAATGATTTAATATAATTTAAAATAGATGTATTAGCAGACTTTAATATGCTATTTTTACGGTGACAGGTAATAAGATCAACGGAAATAAGGTCAATTGGCTTTATTTCCCACCCTGGTGCGAAATAAAGTCAACTGACATTATTACCTTTTCAAAAGCGAAATAAAGTCAACAAAAATTTGGAAATAAAGTCATTGACGCTATTTCCTCATTTAAATGGAAATAGCGTCAACAATGTTTAAAGTATGTCGATTC